AATATTATATATATATATACACACACACACACAAATATTAATATATATATATTAAAAAAAGGAAAGCTAAGACTTTGGAAAATCCTGGTCTCAGCTTTGGCTTCCAGGAAGACTTGAGTCTTCACAAAGCTTTTTTTGGGTCATCCTTCTGGCCAACCGAAAATGTTTGGAGTTTCCACCAGAGCTTCTCTGAGGCTTTCAAGTGAGCCTCCAGAGGCAACCAGGATGAGTTTGTTCCTCCACTTCCACTACTTTCCACCATCGAAAGGTCTTCTAGTTTCTTAACACAACCTTGGCCTCCTTGCTGCTACTCATGCCTTGAATGACATTCCAGAATGTCTTTGTCATAAACTTTTATCTTCCATGCCTTCTAATCCCACACCTAATTGGAACTGAGCCTAAGTGCTTGGATGCATTGAAACACCTATTCAATAGTTGTATCAAAATCCAATCTGCATATAATAGATTATCAGGAAGCTTTTAGCTCCAGACTCCTTTAAAAACAACAAATATTGTTACTGATGGTGACATCCTTTGCTAAGACTTCTTTAACAATACAAAGGTGCACATATGTTTATGAGAAAGGGAGATGATGTCCATTTTAAAATCAGTACTGAAGTATACTCATGGTGTTTGCTTCAATTTATGCCTGGGATCCACAATATCACAGGGCTGTTGTGTGCTACTGTGATCTAAAGGAAGGTCTTTTGACCTGACTGTAAATAAGACAAATACACTGTGAAGGGCCCTGAACCTTTATTTTAGGAAACCCTAACAAGAAAAATTGCCTCTTGAAACTGCCAAATACATGTTAGGTGGCATCCAGAAAGTTGGAAGAAAGAAAATATTGATGAGGGTGGTGGCTAAAATGCTAGACATTGGTCACAGTCAACCAGATTCAAATTCCTGCTTAGCCAAAAAGCTCATCTTGGACCAAGAACTCTGATCTCAGCTTCACCTTCTTATTCTCTGGATAAGAAAAAAGGAGAGAAGCTCCTGGGAGAAAGAAGTTACTGATGTTGCATAAGTACAAGAACAGAAGAACTATGCTGGATCATGCTAAGACTTAGTCCAATATTCTGCTGGAGCCAAGGAGGCCCCCCCTCTTCCAGAGGAAAATACAAATGCGATGTGAAGGCATAGCCCTGCCTTGTTCCTGAAACTGGCACTGGAGGGCACACTGCTGGATCATTTTGGCTGGCCTGTTCTGCCCATTTCTAAGCTCCAAAATAACGTTCCTGATACGTGTTGGCCACAATTATACTCAGGAGTCTGAGTGATTTGTGCAAATTCTGCCTGCTTTATTTTCAGTTCCCTCTCTAACAGTCTGAACATCTGTCTTCACCACCACTCCCAACAAAAGCCACATACTAGATTGACTCATCGGTTCATCCATTACACTCTCAACATCAGCAAAAGGATCATCAGTTCGATTTAATCTCAGTTGTCCATTCAAGAAATTGAGACGTTTTGAATTGAATAGATTGGGCTGAACTTTTAAAAAAAGGGCTTTTGTGGATCCGCAACAGCTCTTCACAATTGTCAAATTGCTTCCAAAGCATCCAAATTGATGATTTAAAGCTTCAGTCTTGCTGGGAGCTTGGATGGCCTTTAAATTTAATCTCTAAACTGAGGCTGCACCCAGACCCAGCCACTGGTCCGGGTGCCAGTGAACACCAGCCTTCTCCTAGTAAGTTATTTGAGAATACCAGGACATGCGATCAACCATTTTATAGCTAGTGACAACCGTCCACAACAGCTTTGGGGAAAGAAGCAAGCAAAGCCCCAGAACCTGGCTCTTCCCCCAGGCAGTGCGGGCCAGCTGAGGGGGACTCCCTTGTGATCATTTTGTTATGTGCTGGTTGCCGTTTTGTATTTGGTATTTGTATATTTTATTGTTTATGATATTGTGGGCTTTCTTCCTCTTTTGATTTACTGTTTGTTTCTATGCTGTACGCTGCCCAGAGTCACGCCGGTTGAGCTGGGCGGCCTTAGAAAGCTTATAAACAAACAGACAAATCTAAGCAGCTAATCCATGCACGTGAGCAGAGAGAGTTGCTGTGGATGCAACTGGGACAGAAAGAGCTCTCCTTGCCACAGTTTGGCCTACAGCAAGATGAGGGGAGTGCACAGAGTTTCCCTCCTGGTCCAGCAGTCGGCCCAACAAACCTCACAGACAAAGGCATTAGAGTTCGGCTGCAGAGTAAGAACCGTGGAGGAAGTTGGGTCCAGCCCCCTGCTCTCTACGGAAATTCAAAATGAAGCGTCCCTGACGGAAGGCTGCTGGGCCCCTGCTCGAAGGCCGCCAGTAAAAGGGGAGCCCCACTTCTCTGGGTCACTGGCTTTACTGTGGAACCGCTCTTCCCTAACATTCACCGGAATTTGCCTTCCTGCAGCTGAAATCCATTATTCTGTGTTTTGCCCTCGAGAATGATGGAGAAATCATCCTGATCGTCCTCAGTTTGGTACCCTTGGAGTACGTGAAGAATGCCAGGCCCTGAGGAGGCCGTCTTCTTACCCCTTTCCAGCCAGAGTTGCAGGTTCCCCTTTAGGTTTGGGAGGAGGCTTGTGTGGAGATGGTGTGGGCGAAGGAGACGGCGAAGAGGAGAAGGACTGCGACCTGCAAAGACAGCACCCAACAAATGGTTAGAAGAACATCTTGTTATCCACAGAAGGCTCTCCGACTGCGAGTGCTCCTAGGACTGGGGGCTGAGCTGTCTTAGAAAAGTTGGCCAATTAAATCAACGGCAGAAAAGAGCGGTCAATAGGTTGGATACTTAACGCGCTTTACAACATGTAAGTCAAGGAACGGTTATGAGACAGTGAAAACATTTTGCAGAAACGAACTAGAATTGAATGTTAGGTAAGGTGAATTCACGGCTTACTGAGGATTCTCTGGCTTCGGGGAAGAGGAGGAGAGCTTCCATTATTACCTCATCACAAAGATCAAAGCAGAAATAAAGCACGTTAACGGCAAATGCCCATTCTGAAGGCAGGTAAATCAAGGAAGCAACAGGTCCATCTCAAAGGATCATGACGACTACAGCTTGTGGAATATGGGGGTTTGGGGCTACGATTAAACAGATGGGCCATGGATCAGTCTGCCAAGGCTTGGTGCTTCTGTTACAGAGCACCTCACCGAAAGCCTGTCTGGAGGACCTGTCGGCTGTGGTAAAAGCTCTACTGCTGGAAAGAGAAGCCAGGATTTCATTCAAGTCCCCTCACCCAGATTCCCCAGTTCTACAGTTAACGCTGCAAGAGCAAGCTGACGAGGTGCCTGGGATTGCTCAGTGAACGGTGCTTTCCTTTTAAAATAATCAGCAAACTGATTATCCAAATAATTTGGAGGCTGCCTGTGGATGGACACACACCAGAGTGCTTCCACGCTCTGCTTAAGCGTGCTCGTGATATGTGACAAACCCCACTTGGGAGAAAAGTAATGAGCACCCGCTCTGTGCTTCCCAAGGATCATGTGTGCATATGAGAGCGCACATCAAGGTATCAGCCCTCGAAGGGCAGACAGGAAGTTATCAAGTGTGTGGGCGGCATATCCCAGAAGAGGTGAAACTAAGGAACACACCTTGACAGCTTCCAGTAATCAGGGGTGGTGCTGCCTCTTGGGTGTCTGCCCCACAAGCCCTCCTGTCTTACCACTGCTGCAGATGGCCCCTTCAGTCTTTGCCAGTAAGTGGTATATACAGTAGGAAAAGAATAGGGATCCCGGAAAGAGGATCAATTAAGCAAAGCAGATATTCGGCCTGCATTTCTACACAAGGCAGAGTTTGGAACAGGAAAAGCGAAGGTGTCACGTTAGCTTAAGGATGGTTGTGCCCTGCCCTGTTCAGGACTCAGAATGTGGGATGCAGGTGGGGGTTCCCCCATTCTTGGTAGGAGCAAGGCAAAGCGGAGCTTGGAGCAAAGGCGGTCTCGCAAACAAGTTCACCTTTGCAGTTGCTAAAGAAAAGTCCCATAGAAAAGGAGGAGGAGCTCGACTGGGGTGGGGGGAACTGACAGCCGAAAGCATCACAGGATTTGACGGCAGTCATGAGACTCCATAAACAATCTTTGCCATTCACTTTGCTACGATTCAGCGAGTCACTCTAGATATTTTACGCAGGTCACAGGTTTGTCACTGTTTACTCAACTTCCGTGTTTTGCCGCTTTGCTAGGATAAGAAATGTTCGCTGGGCTAAACCTGGGTATTTCATCACCTTTTATCACCTTCAGTCGCAGCTGCAAATCCAAACATGCAAAGCTGACTGGCACTGTGCCTGCTCGGAAATTTCCTCAATTTCCAATCTATAAAGCCCTGAAATTTGCTGCTACGTATAAGCAAGAGTCATCCTCACGAACACACACTTGTCTGTATGAAGTGGCCAGGAGCTCAAGGCTTTGACAAGAGACCTAAACATCCTACAAAAACTACAGCAGGACTCAATGTCTGGCCCCTTCAGATATCCCTGGTCAGATCTAGACAATTAAGTTTTTTTTCTCTACCATGTTCTATCTATGAATCCTTTGTTCAGCATGTAATTCGAGGACTTCATGGCTACAATAATGTGGTAGTGACACTGGGCTTAGATGTGGGGGACAGTTTGGTATTTACTACTGTTAGTCATAGTGGTCTGAATGACTGTCTAAGGGGGACCTCCTAGTGCACAGAGAGGACCAGCTGCTGCGAATCGCAGTGGGATCAACACCTTTAAGTTCTCTGCTTGAGAACTTCCGAGGACAATCTGCCCTTAGGTCACCATGGAAGCAAGAGGCCAGATCTTTCTGTGCGATTCAACATATCCACCATGGTTTTCTTATTAGTGGAGCAGGTTGGCTCTCCTTAGACATCCTTAGGCACAGAAAAGAGAAGCCACTGATGACACAAGCTGGTGAAACATCTCCCTTTTGTTAAAAGCAATGGACTAGGCCTAAGTGCAATTACACTGAAATGTTTTGTGAGCAAGGCCACAAGAATGGCGCTGCCTCCTTTGACTATTCTTTGCTCATCTGCTTAGATGGGCAAGGCAGAAAGGGTGATGGGAAAGGATCAAGCTAAGCCGAAGTCCGAGCAAGTTCAGACCAAGGTCACCAGAAAAGCCCATTCCAAAGGGAAGACCCCAACCCATTCCTGCTTTTCAACCCATTAGCCTGAAACAAAGTCTAGAACAGCTCTCCCCACGGTTCTGCTGGAACACAACCCCAACCCCTTCTCTTCCAAGCCAGCACCGGTTAAAAGTCAAGCTGGCCAGGGCTGAGGGAGGAATAGTGCAGCACATCAAGAGCACACCATATGGGAGAAAGCTAATAGGAGGACCAGCCACAGTCGTGTTTTGCTTCAGGAAAGCTTGCTACGGCAACTGGTGAGTTGGGAGAAATCATACCTGGATCGACTGCCCGAGAAGGAGCTGTGCCTGGAAGAGCGACTGGAATAGGAGCTGTAGGAGGAAGATCTGGAACGTGACCGTGAAGAACCAGATCCAGAATAGGAGGAGGAGCGGGAGGATGACCTGAAAGGAAAAAAGGAAGAGGGAAGGAATTCAGCAACCAGAACATCTCCCACAGGCATTCTGGTTTCCTATTCTTGTTTTAAGAACATTCAAGGCCCATATCATCTTCTCTATACTCCTGAGATTATTTTCAGTTCGTACCAGACCTAGGAATCTGTCCTGCTGTACTGTGATGCATCCTTAAAACTATCTTTCTGGGGACACTAGCTATTCCCCAGCACCGTCCCTTTGCAGAATGGGAGAGCAACCCTTCCCAAAGCTCTTGGTTGCATCCTTGTTTACACAATAAACAACTTTTCCCTTGGCTGGTCCCCAAGATCCTTTTGTGCGACCTTTAGCTGACACGCTCTTCTTCCAGAACTACCTCTTCTATAAAATCCCAGCGATTGTCTTCGTAGGATGCAAACTAGAAGAAGTACCCCGGGGGCCTCCAGTTTTATACCTGGAAGAACCCGAGCCAGAAGCTGATGAAGCAGAGGTTTTCCGGCGCCTCCGAGCATGACTGGGTGAAGCGGACATGCCATGCTTTTTTTTGGGAGATTTTGATCGGCGCCAAGGATCCTTCCATTCATCTGCTCTCTTGGACTGAGAAGGAGTGGTCGTAGTTGCCTCCTTCTCTTTCTTTGATGGCTCAGGCTGACGGCTGGAAGATGGATCAAAAAGGTCATGAGTGGGGAGGCAGCTTGAGCTGGGTCTCCCAGGGGCCTAACTGCCTCTTCTCCGATTCCTTGAGGTGCAGAAGAATTCAAAAAAGGAGTTAAGGCTTGAAAGCATTAACAATGGGCTGGGCTGTTTATTTTTTTACACGGGGCGTTTCCAAAAATAATTCAGTGTCTTATCAGGAAAAAAAAAAGTCTAACACACAGTGTATAAAAATAGTAACCATGAAACTTCAACACAGCAAATATAAAAACAAATAAAAAGCAACAATTCCTTGAAAACAGAATTAAACATTAAAAACTGCTGAAATAGAAACCAGGTTAGCAGGTATCATAAAGAAAGAGGGAGAGGAGATCATGTGTAATTCCACAGAAGCTAGAAGCTTGAAGTTAGACACCATCACCCTGACTTTTATGGCTGCCCATAAAACAGGCAGGAGGGAGAAAGGGTTGATGCGTGAGCAGGTGACCAATCTTTTATCAACTTTCTGCCACTTGATGCCCCTGCCTCCCCACCACAGATGGAGGGGGCTAGAGTTACCTAAATCACAGAGGATCAGACTGCAACTCTACCATTTGAGGTAAGTTCTCCCATTAATGGCCCAGGCGTGCAAACTGCCCCATGGCTGGAAAAAACAAAAACAGAGGGGGGTCCCAGCTGCCCCTTCCAAAGACGGCCACGGCACGCAGTGGGCTGGCTGCAATGGCTGGAGATCCTTGGGAGCAGGGGCAGGGAAGGGAGAGGTAGGCGCTCCAGTGTTACTTCTCACAGGTGTAGGAAAAGCAACCCATCTGAGGCTTTCTTTCTTCCCAGTTCCTTAATATCCTCAGGCACTCTGTGGTTCCCTTTGGAGCGCCAATCTTTTGGCCCTGGGCTACGCATGTTGCAAGGAGATGTGGCCGACCAAATACCTGGAAAGTGCAACACTCTGAAAGGGCTCAGCAGGTGAAGAAGGCAGCACAGGAACTCTACAGAGAAAGACAGGCATGTCCTGCTCCCCAGGATCCTTTTTTAAAAAATTACTCTAGCTAACCTGAGGGCAAACCACAGAGGACAATGCTTTATTGTTTAATTAATTCTTTAAAAACTCCTTTTATGCCTTTGCTTTCACTAGAAGAAAAAGAATGTTATCAACAGTAAGACCAGATGCGAAAGAAGAGAGAATTTTACCAATAAGAAATAACTTCTGTAAATGGAAAACGAAGGGGAAACCCAACATCGTTTTTGCTTCTGGCCAGGTTATTCCCTGACTTTGCCTACTGGAGGCACAAAACCCCAAGGAAGGAGAAAGGGGGCATCAGGGTCAGGCAAAGTGATCAAGAGGCTTTGTCACAGCCTTCAGGCCAAACTTCTGCTCATGTCTCAGTATCCTAACTGAATAATGGATGGCAATGTTTAGAGAACAGCCTCTACCAGTGTAAGGAATTTTTGGAATTTTTCTGCCCCGGCATTTCCACTGAAATCCAAGTCTGGATTTGAGACTGTGGTCTTAGAATTGGCATTGTACGAGCCCCAACTCATGAGTTTCTAGCCATCGATCTAGGTCTCATTTAAAGCAAGTTTTTACAGAAATTTGGAAAGCTGCAGGGAGGTCCAATGAGCTCTTACAGGTATTTCTTTTTTTTTTAGTCACATTCCTTATTTTCATGACCTCGCAACTATCTTTTGACATTCTCCTGCAGAGATTCTTCAGATTCTAGCCAAAGATTCTTCACATGCTAGCAGAAATGAATGCATATCTACCCGTGGGCGTTCTTTAGCTTCACCCCTAATCTCAGTTAGCTGGCTGTTCAAGGTAAGAAATAGGTGAGAACAGACACATTCTTCAACCCCCGGTCCCAGCCATGCTTTTTCAGCAAGGAAGTGCTGCTGAAAGAGTGAAGACTGTGCTTTCCAATAATCACCTGCCAAGGAAATCTGCCACGAACAAATCCTGTTTTTATTTGTTTTGCTCAGACAGGCTCTTTCAGTTCAGAAGGGAACCAAGAAAAGATGCGTGGAGCTATGCCAGGGCAATTGATTAAGGGGGGGAAAATTCCCTCTCAATGCAAATGACCAAGCGATCCCTTTGTTCAGCCTGGAAAATGTTATTTCACGCAGAGAAAGTTACTTTCCCCATCCTTCCCCTTCCTCTTTGTATCACATAAGCAAACCCTTTTGCTCGTGGCCTAATCTTATCAGGCATGAAGGCTGAATGACGGCATTTCAATGCAGGAGTACTGAGATAACACGAACCTTTCAAAGGTAGAAAGACTGCCTAGAAAGGAAGTTGAAAAAAAAAAAAGAATTAAGCAAGGTGACACAGTGACATCACTGTAAATTTCCCAGGATTGATGACAGGAAATGGAGAGGTCTGGAAATGGTTGCTCAATAGATACCTAATTTAAAAGTTTGAATTCAATCTGCACACACTTTAAAAATGTGCCCTTTAAAAATATCATGAACAACCTTTAAAGCAGATGTTTAAAGATGCAGAAAGTTGTACCAGCCCAGCGAGGGAAAAATCCAAGGTAGCAACAATTTAGCCCTCTTACTGGGAGCAAATAAAACAAAGTAAAAAAAAACAAAGCAGATAAACTCATGAGGTAGCTTTCAGGTTCAAGAACTCTTCCCCAGACCAGAACGTTGGATGGCTATTGATTTCCAAAAAGGAAGATTATCCTGACTATTCTTGGTCCGATATGTTTTGAGGCAACCGGAGACATTTTGCACATGTCGCAAATGAACTTATTGGCTTACGAAGAGATTCCTGAATCGCTAATATGGGAAGGAATCCCATATTGCAGAAAGAGCCTCTATCCCCTGTTTTTCAGTGTCTCTCGTCATCTGCTCATCTCTGTCAGTTCAATGATTGATAGATATATGAGAGAGATAGAACCCTGACTAACATTTAACCAGCAGAAGGAAATTTAGCCTACATTATAGTGGCTTTAAAGTTGTTTCAATAAAGGCATAAAATTATTAGTGCTTTTAAGCATTTCCTTTATGAAACATAATCAGTATGAATAGAACATTATTATTATTATTAATAAAGGCTGGAGCTGTAAAGAGCTATTTTGGTGATGTGTCCAACAAATCAGAAATACATACTGATTTTTCTTAGGAAAAACTGCAGTTTCCTACGCTTTATTTCAAACAATTTGGGGGAAGGGGTTGCTTTTCTTTTAAAAACGTTTTAGTCTACATTAGAATAGGATAAATTCATTTTTTAAAAAATACACCAATATGTGCTTTAACATTTTTTTCCTTAAGGTTTTACTACTATTGAACCACCATACATTGCTTCAGATATATCTATGGAATGACGGTTGATTTGAAGTTGTTTTCTAACTATAATAATTGGCTTTCAAGAACATCATTGTGCTTTTTATCTTTGTCCCTTAAAGCCAGCTTGGGAAAGCTGCTTTACACAGGAGTCAACAAGGTTACTAAAGCCCGACCTCTGTGCGTACGGCATGAACAAGCATAGGTTTGCTGGTCTGTATCTTTCAACCCTCCATGTCCAAGCTATCAAGTTTTGGCCCTTCTGGGTGAGCTTGACTGCTTGAATTGAGGATGTGGCTTAACACACAGTGGGATTTTGAGTTGAAGAGTGTATTGCTCTTCCATCCCCAAGTAGCAGAACTACGGGGATGCCAGAAAGAATGGCGAAAAAACAAAAGAATTGTGCATCATCGTGCAGAGGGTTAGATTTCCATAGGCTTGGCCAAAACATATGAGAATCTGAATGGCTCCAACTGGATTTCAGGCACTTCAGAGAGAATCATATTCAAGCCTTTGTGCATGAAGAAAAAGACTCTTGTTCATTAGAGCATAATATTTCTTGTGGGGGAGGGATATTTGTGAGCATGATCCAGGGAAGAAAATTGGACCTGCATTGACCGGCAGGTTACTAATCAAGAGGGGACTAACGACAACCGAGGAATCCAAGGATTGCATGCACCTGCTCTTGCTAAACCCTGCTCGCAAGGTCATGACTCCTCATGTATGCAAAACGCAATTGTGTCATTCCAGTTGCATGACCTGAACAGGGACACTCCCTTCCGGCAGCAGAGCCTCACACTTTCCCATTTGCTATGCTCGACTTGGGACTAGACAAGGTCCCCAGGGGGGGCAGAACCAAGATAAAGACCCAGGCTGCTTCCTCTCCAGGAATAAGCCTTCACAATAAATTAAAAAGCTACTCAATGAGATAAGGTTTACTGGCATTGTAAAGTCAAGAGAGGAGGAACAGAGAGAGGGGGGCCGGGGGAGAGGGGGGCCAGTTTTAATCTCTATGTGGAATTTAAATCCACATGGAATTTCTTATTAATACTGTAATACAAGTAATACTATACAGTAGTATCAGAAACTGGTATCTATGGACTCTTCAGTCACCCAAAACAGAACAAATAAACCCAGCTTTCAGATGCCACCTTTTAACTTAGAGCCAGGCATGATACTCAGGGGGAAATCAAAGTAGTGGGCAAACTTTAGACTGCCTTTGTGCAGTGATACTATAAAAATCTTGCCATTAAGTCCACAAATGCTAGCCCAGGAACAGTTTATTTTGCCAGATATGCCTACAAGAGAAGAACCAAAACCATCTGCACCAGTGATAAGGCCACCGGCAAACTTGCCTTAGGAACCAAACATTCAAACCAAGTATTAAAAGCTCAGTGACAGCGGGAGAAATATTTTGGTATCTCGGAATATTTGGGAACGACCTCAAATCAAGTGGCAAAGCTGGAATTTGATTGGGATAATTGATTTGGGCTCCACAAGAATTGGGAGCAACTCGCTCACCACAGAAAGCAACCAGCCCTTGTTTCACCACTCCCATCCTAACTGGATCTTTCATTTTTCTGACTAGGCATTCATTTCATTTATGCTCTGGGTAGTCATCTTTTTTCATGCTTAGCCTTGATACCATTTTGCAAAAATATTCCCTTTCTCATCTGCATCCTTCTCTCTACTCAGAATATGCACACACACATCATTTGGGTAACCCCTTTTCACTCCTAACAAGAACAAACCTATTCTGGAGCTTTATTTTTTGACAAGAGGCTCCTAAAGATGGGAAGCAATTAACTGTCTGGCTCACTTTCTAGTCTGCACCAGTGCTAATCTAAAAATACTAGGAAATCAGCCTGATCTATAAATGGGTCATATATCAAACCACATCAAAATGTGAGCCGAAGACCTAGGACAAGGAACCTAGAACCAGCCTAACCCAAGTCCTATGAAAAGAAGAAATGTTAACGGCTGAATCACACTCCAGTGTAAACATTCTCTCTGGAATCAGGGAGATGTGCTGCGCAGGGCCCTAAACAAACACAGGTATTGCCCATCTAGGGCAAACACTACTGGGGGTTCCTGAACAAACTATCTGATTTGGTTGAAGAAGACTTTCTTTGCCTCTAGAAAGTCCAAAATCGACAAACGGGGGCGCGTGTACAAAACCCAATCATGTCAGTCAATTACCCTTTTGAATATGCTTTTTCGTAGAGGTTGTGTGAAGCAAAACATAATAGGTAATTAGGAGACAATAGGCAATTGAGCAGGGTTTTTCTTTCTCAAAGGCCTTCATATGTACCTTGGCAAAATCCTTCAATCAGCAGAGATTATCTTCAAACAAATCGACCAGGGAATAACATCCTTTGATTAAACAGATGGAATTCATGATTTTTTTAAAAAATCATTTTAGCCTGAATTGCCTCCTTTGGCAGTAAATTAATCTGCCAAAGATTGGTAGCTCTCCCACTGCCTGTCTGGCTCCCTCTGACCTTCAGAGAGCTGTTATTCTTGTCCTTTCCATTTCACCTCACTTCCTTTTGGTGGCCACGGAGAAGGAAGAATTCTTCTACGGTTCAAACTAAAGTCCATTTCGTTGAAATCACGGTGAGACCAAACACACCCCTGGGAAGGATGCTTCGCCTGCAAAAACAGCCACCTTGCATCACCTGCATTTCCTGGCCTGGACTGTTGCCTCAACTTTGGTTTTCACAACCAGACACAAATGACAAAGCAGCAAGGAAAACCCTATTAGGTATTGCCACTTCCTGCCAAGTTGCTTGGGATGGCTCGCAGGGGATCATCTGGCACGATCTTCACACAGCTAACCTGCCAGGAGAGTGAGAGTCCAAGGCAGCAGCTTATCAGAGGAAATAGGAGGAACTGCGTGGTCGAAAAGGGATTTGAAACGAGGTCTGGCCAGCTCAGCACAATGGAAAATGCCAGCCCCACCGCCCGCCCCTGTGCCAATGGATTCAGAGGAGGCAAATACGAGAGAGCTGGAATGCTGGAGAAGCGGGGAGAGTCAAATCTCCACTCAGACAGGAGGTTCCTGGGGGGTGAGACTGAACCAACCGTGAACGCACAGCCTGATTTACACATTTGGGGGTGTGAAGAGGGAGAACACACTCCCCCGAGCCCCTGGAGGAACTGAGGATGTAACTGCAAGAAATCAAATAAATCAACAATAAACGGGCAGCGTGCAAAGAGCATGGCCTGGTGGGAGGAGCTCCTGAAGGCAAGGCTGTGCAGAACGTGAGCCTCCAGACTGCGCTGGATCGAGCGGCTTCTCCCTCGACAAGGAACAGCCCTACAAGAGTCGAACCTGCCGCCTTTTCCAGCTTTTTCACCTGGAGCCCTTTCCAGGAGAAATTCGGGCTGCGACTTCCTATCTGCAGAGCAGGTCCTCGATCACTGAACTATTCCTATGGCCCCTCCCTCAGGACACCCCCTCTCTTTTCCTTCCTGGCAGGAAACGCTCTCAGGGCGCTCCTTTGTATTCGCCGCCCGCCCCTGGGCAGCCGGCTCCCAACCAAAGCACGGCTTCCTCTGCTTCGTTCTTTCAGGCTACAGCAGCGACAAATAGAGGACAACAACACAAGTCTTTTGGAAGCCCACGCTTTAGCCCTTGCTGCTTGGGGTCCTCTTGTCCGGCCTTTCTGGAAGGTTTCCAGACTGGGGGAAGTCTGTCCTGTGGAAGAGGCAGACTTACTCAACAGGGACTCTGGAATCTCCACCAAGTCACCTGACTCCCTGGGCAGCATCAGTCCAAAACTACGCAAGAGGACACAGTTGCCAAGAGCTGAGCCAGGGTTTAATGATTAGGGAAAGCACAGAAGTCTATAAATAAACTCAATTAATGTGAAGTCACTTCCACTCCAAGGAAGAATCCAGCTAGTTAAATATAAAGAGTGTCTAAAGACGTTACACATTAAACAAACCTCTAGATTGTATTCTTCTTAGAACGCTAAATTAAGAACTATAATTAGAAGTGTCTGTAATTAAACATCAGTTTATGGGAAAGACAGAAACTTATTACCTTGACCGTGGGTAATAACTTAAAGCATCATATACTGAGTAAAAGGACCGCAGATAATTAAATCCAGCATAATAAAAGCAAGCATTCCTAAAGGACAAAAATAAAACGTACTTCCCAGTTGTTCAAACATCAACCTATTACGTAGATTTGCATATAAAACTGATGCCGTTTTCTGTAAGTTACAAAAATAAACAGCCACTTTCCTTGTTATTTTCCTCTTGTTTTGGGGGGAACCCCCCCACAAACTCAGGAGGTTTATTGAATGACTCAGAATGTGAATCGTTACTCCAAAGCAAGTTGAGCTCTATTCAATGGAACTTACTGCCAAGAAAATTGGTAGAGGATTTAAGGGTCATTCTCCCGAACTAAAGGCATGGAACACTTGACCCAACTTCTGGAAGATGAAGGCTGCCATTACGGGATGTTTGGCAAGTTCGGACAGTCCCTCTTTCATTCATCATTTTGTTTTTATTCCTTAGGACCACAAAGTCAGGTAACATCGACAACACTTGTTTCACTTCCCCTCCAGCATTTTCGTTTGACAGCTGGAATAGCCGGGACTTCTAACTGGGCAAAGAAAATGCCGAGAAAAGTCACCCAGGCTTTTCCGGGTGTGCATTCCTCTTAACGAAGAGCTAAGTGCTAAAACCACACGGATAAACCGGATACACCATTACTCCTGCCAGCCAGGGAGCCATTCCCACATGGAGCAGCCTCGGGAAGCCGCGAAAACCAATCCTAGGTCTTTTTCCTCAAATCCTCCCCAACGTCGGCTCCCCCGCTGGGGGAGGGGGAAATAAAACAGAACCATGGAAGCCCATCTGGGGTCTTGGTGGAAAACTAACAGTGGGATAAACCTCAGGGTGAGCAGAACGCACTTCCTCGCAAAGGGGGAAAAGCTCAGGGGCCTGGGAAAACTGACTTTTAGCAATCTGTGTACATTTCAGTCTTACATCAACATTACTTCACCTGATTATTCACCAGCTGGGTGAGTTACATAATGAGAGTGAAGCAGCAGTTGGGACACCGCGCACTTTCCTGGCACACTTCAGCAGATCCCAAGGCAAGGCAAGGCTACGAGGAGGCCAAGAATGGCAGGAATGGCGGGGGAGGGGCCTGGCAGGCCCCGCTCGCTGCTCTGCCAGGAGCAAAGTGCTAAAAGCTGGAGAGGCAGCTGGCATCAAGGGAATGCAAGCTGCACGGAAAAGAAATAAGGCCCGTATCCGGGACAGCTCCCGGGGTGCTTCCTTCCTCTGCCCTGATCTGCTGAGGTGACCCTTCTCATAAAAACAAAGCAACCCCTAACCCCACCGATACCAAGAAGAGCCTCCGTTCTGTACAAATTATGCAAACTGCTTGAGAGGAAGGGCAGGAGTGGGGAGGACCAGTCATTTGGGAAGAAGAACAAGGACACAGGTGGACCCTCAGAATCCTTCTGTCACTTGCTGCGGCGTCAGGCAACCTTCCCCACAGGCAAAACTCCAAGTGGAGGCCTGCGCGTCCCCAGCCTTTGGGGATAAATTCACACCCTGCAAGCAGACGCCCCTGGCTGTGTTCAGCCACCCCCAGAGCTGATGTAAGGAGCCATTCTTCTGAGCTGAGAGACAGCCGGGACCAAGGCTCAAGCCCACCAGAACATCAAACGCGTCCCGTACCTGGGTGGCTGGGGTGAACGAGGCTTTGGCTTCTCTTTCTCCTTCTCTCGCTCTTTCTCCCGGTCCCGATCTCGGTCCCGGTGTGGCCGATCCTTGTCGTCTCGCTTGATGCGCTCTCTCTCCCTCTCCCACTCTTCTTTCCGTCGCTGGCGCTCCTTGTCCCGCTCCCGTTCCCTTTCGCGTTCCCTCTCTCTCTGCCGCCTCTCGCGCTCCCGCTCCCGCTCTCTCTCCCGCTCCCGTTCGCGCTGCCGGTTTTCCCGCTCCCTCTCTCGTTCCCTTTCCTGGGGAAAGAAAGGAAGAATAAGCCGGGTTACAAACTTTTGACCTGTAGAAAGCTTTTAATCATATCATACCATTGAAACTCTGGTTAGCTCTGCAACACTTAACAACTTCATTCCACTAGGTATTTACTCCCGGGGCCAGCTGTTAAACTACTAAAATTGCAGTTTTTCCTCTCCCTGCTCCGTTCCAATCATGTGCGTGTGCAGAAGCAACACTCACTGTTTCTCAAAATTCCTGGAGCAGTTTGAGACGCACAGGCAAAAACAGCTGGCTAATAGATGGAGAGACTATGGCATTCACCTGCTCTACAGGTTGTCAGGCTGGAGCCACTTCAGAACAAGCACCTGACCCAAGCAAAAGAGGAAATCCAGCCTGGTGCATGCATTTACCTTACTCAGTCTGTAATTGCGGTATGGGTCTGGATCGGTGTACTGTACCCTGAAGTTCTCATACTGTCCTCCCCGCCAGAAGCGTTCTATTTCATAATCATAGTAGGGATCTGAGTATGGATCGAGCCTGCAGAGCAATTAAAAGAACAGAAGCGGTGAAATAAAATTCAATCACATGTTGTTCTTCTCGATTATTGGCAGAAGGATCACATTCAGCAATCGCTGCTTAAAAGCAAGAAATATGTTTCACAGGTGATGCCCTTTTGCAATACAGGTAGTCCTCACTTAACAACCATTCGTTTAATAATGGTTCAACATTATGATGGCCTTGGAAAAAGTGCTTTATGACCTGTACTCGCATTTACGACTGTTGCAAACTCTCGCATCAACTCCACGGTCATGTGATTGTGATTTGCGATCTTTTTACAATAGTTGTTAAGCGAATCATGTGGTCATTAAGTGAATTCCAGCAAAAAACCCCATTGGGGAAGCTGGATTCGCTTAACAATCATGTGACTCGCTTAATGACCGTGATTTGCTTAATGACCATCGTAAAAATGGTCGTAAAATCAGGCCTGGTCACATGGTGACTCGCTTAACGATTGTCCTGCTTAACAACCAATTTTCCAGTCCCTATTGTGGTTGCTAAGCAAGGACTACCTGTAATCATACAAGCACAAAGAGCCATCCCCCAAAAATTCCAGGTTCAGGCAAATCATGTTGCCTTTTCAGCAGCTGCTGCTGCAGCGTCTTGAGACCTATTTTTGAAAAACAATGGATGCTATAAATATAAGATGCTGAGGATGGTGAGGCCATGGTTAAGGGAGGGCTTTAAAAGGTTAGTAGACCATGCTCGACTTATGCTAAGAAGGGTGCAGTTAGATTCTTATATTATTTTACCAATGCTATTAGTACTGACTCCCCTTCTCTGGGAGAAATGAAGCAGAGTTAAGACAAGGACTCTTAACATGTCATTAGTTACTTGATTAGTATACTGATATAAGTTTTTTTAAACATTAAGTATTGCCCTAGCAAATACCTGAAAACAAGACTTTCTGGATTAATCCTGAAATCAGCATTTTTCATGCTGCGCAAGATTAATGATATAGAATGGCAATAATTTTTCCACTAAAGATGCTGATCATGGCTGGCTATTCTAGTTACTGCACTGTGTGATAACAACAACAAAGAGACTTTGACCAGTGGAGGCATTTAGGTACAGCCAGCAAGCGTAGGGTGGCTGTTTGCTCACTCCCTTTCCTTCTGGGACGTCTTCAGAAAATGCACTCCATTGCCTGAACTTCTAGGTGTATTTAATTATTTACAAGTCTTGCTATTCCTGTAAATGTTGCCAAGATGTTGCCAACACAGGGCAACCCCCAAACAGAGAGGTGTGTCAGTAAGAAAGGGCCAGCTGGAAATGAAGTACTCTGCCACAGCTGAGCTAAGAATTCCTAAGAATTTTGAAGAATCGAAATGAAAGTAACATGGCCTGGCCATGAATGCAAAAGCACTTAGAGACAGCTTACCCATAATTAATGTTCTCTTTGATGTCCGTTTCACTGGTATTTTTGAAGAAACCGGTGAAAAAAAACAAAAGTACGAATCAGTCAGCCATAATCACATGTTCACAAGTTAGTCTCAATGCAAACTAAAATAGTTTGAAAAATAAACTCTTAGGGAAGTGAAGTGATACAAACCTGGAAAAATTTCCAATTGACTAAACCAGCTGAGATTGTACTTAGCACTTTTGACACATTTAGCAAGCAAGAGCTACCCCCCCAAAAACGATTTTAATCTCGTAAATATCCTTTAATTTAGTCAAAATCATATTTGAGTAGGAAAAAATCAATAAAATCTGCCTAGAATTTTATAATCTAACATTTGAGAATCCAGCAAAGGCTAAAATGAAGGCCCTGAAAAGTGTTGATATATTAATTTTACCATTTTGAGAGAACACATATATACTACACAAAGACAGTCACCTGAAAAAAGTGAATTCCAACTGTGAATTTGCCCAGTTTGGCTGATACTGTGCCCCAGTTTTAGAAATAGAGAAGTTTCCTTCAGAAAAAGATAGCAATGAAACATCATTCACCCTAGGAAGTTTCCTATATGAATCACTTGGGGAGAGCATCAATAATATTTCAAGAAATTTAAAGCCATGTTTTAGAATAAAAGCCTCTTCATAGCAATGTTCAGAAGTAAGAAAAAAAATGTGCCTATTACTGAGGACCCTACCCTTACAAAGCTGTTTTGTCAACCTGTCTGGGTCTTGAATTAACGATGAAAGATCTAAAAAAAAAAAAAGGTGTACCTTTGCAGAATTCATTTACTGTTTCTGGCCACAAGAAGGAGCAGGGAGAATGCCACTCCTGATGCCAACTTCTGCATTTACATGTAGTGCAACTGAGAATGTGAAGAAGAGGCCACTGTTCCATCATACTGAGCGTTAAAAGAGTTTCCTCAGCTTTATCCTCCCGGGGCCTCCTTAGCGAGGGCATTGTGAAGGAGGCTGAAGCCACCTGGAGTGGCTCAGGAAGGCCAGGATGAGCCCCTGAGTCAAGCAGGATCTGCGATCTGTTCACACCAATCCACTCAGAGCTGCCAGGGACACCTGTCTGATGGACTTCTTGAATGGAGGGGTGTATCTTAAACGCAGCCATCGTCCTGAAAAGCGCTCCAAGCACTACCAGTGGCGGCCAGAGGAAAACCTGCATCTGGGAAGCAGGCAGGCCTGGAGGCAACGTTCAGCAAGACGGAAAACCAAACAGTTGGCGAAATGCGGCTACTCTGCTTCACATGCGCAGTGCTGCGGTTGGGAACTGCCAAGTGGAAGACAAAAGCACCCGGCTGTGTTCACACAAACAGCAGCAGCCAAAGACAGGATGGGACCATGGTGGCGGGGGCCTGGTAGCTGGTAAGCCGACACTGCCCTCTGGTGGATGGCAGCGGGACTGGAGGGGAAGACGCGAGAAAGAGGAAGCGTTTCTCCCATGCCAGTCCGCTCCGTCTTGGGCAGCGGGACACGGGGAGGATCCCAGCAGGGCCTTACCTTGAATCCCGCACATCCCGAGTGATGCGATAGTTCCAGTCCCGTAAAAATTCATTCTCTTTGTCGAATTCACGCTCGTCTTCCCCAATGGTCACCGTAAACCGTTTTTCTTCAAAATCGGGTTCTTGTTCTTTCCTCATGGTAGCCTTTTTCAGCACCTGGTGGGGGCGAGGGCAGGAGCATTAGTCTCCCAAAGGGACGATGAAACGGACACAGCAGCAGCCCTCCCCGGCCTGACACCCCTGGAAGCCTTGGGGCAGCAGCTCCAGAATTTCTGAGTGGCTCACGCGGACTACCACATCTGGAAGCCACTGGCTGCTTTGTGTTTTAGAACACAGGGAATTTTCAGATCATGACGCTGAGCACCTAGGACAAGGGCCCTTTTTTAAAACCACAAGGGCTGAATCCTGGTACTTTATGTTAGGTGTGTACAATGCACCTTGGAATAAACATGCTATTTTAAAGAGGTGATTTATACAGCCCACTTTTATTCTGGTGGAAGAGCAGCCGCTAGCGCCAAGCCCAAATGTTCTGGGCCTGCAACTATTTCTTCCCGAGCTTAGGGCGCTACAGTATTTATTTCCAAAGATTCTTTTAAACTCAAACAAGATTTTGGGGGACAAAAAGCAACTGCAGATTGTGTATTTTCAAAAGGAAACTAGCTGGGTGCCCTCGTCCAGATTCAGAAAGCCCTTGTGCTTGCTTTTTTTCCCGTCCCAAACACAGAATGGGCCAGTATGTAGCTACTTTCCATTCCTGTCAATTTTATTTGGATATTGAAAGGTTCATCAACTGACCCCTGTGGATTCACTGATCCAAGCTCAACCACTCCAGTTCATGATGGACTTTCACATGCACCATGTATCAGCCAGGGGACCCCACGATGACTGGAGCAGAGGTCGCATTAGCAAACGCATTTTTTGCTATTTTATCTTTGGAAGAGCAGCATCCTCAGATCTTGCAGAACACACACCGTTTGTCAGGCAGGTAAATATTTAAATATCCATTCCCAGGATATTTAAATGATGGAGAGCCGCATGTGGCTCGGAACAAAAGGCTCCACCGCAATTATGGCGCAGCACCTGCTTTGCACCCAAGGACTGAGCTGTGTTCACAATCAAGGAGGGGAGGCTCTCCGGCAGAGAAGCTGGAGGAGAACTGTCAGTCAAAACAGACCCTCTTCTGTGGGGTGTGTTTTCTCACAGGCTCAGCATACGAGGAGGAGAGAGACAAGACACCAGGTATGGTGCTTCCCCATTTTACCTGAATGGGGAAAATGGCAAATTGCCATGCTTCGTGATCAGTATGGTAGGTGAGAGAAGGAAGGAAGAGGGAAGAAGTCGAGGTGCGTGCCTACCGCTGCTGAACTTTCTGATCCAAGGCTTCAAACAACCTTTCCCACCTGAAGCTTTCCAGATATGCTGGGCTTCAACATCCATAACCTCAGCCAGAGCGTTTCTGGCCATGTAGTCCAAGGATGTGAAAGGAGGCAGTTCAATAGTTCCATAGAGCATCAAGTAGGCAAGGGTATCCTTGGAGGACAGTTTGAAGAACTATGTACAGGTAGTCCTTGGGTTATGATGGCAGTTGGGACCAGGATTGCTGTTGCTAAGCAATGTGGTCATAAAACGTGACGTGACTACATCGCTTAGCGACAATAATCCTGGCAGTCCTGGTTGCCGTCGTAGACCCAAGTCATGCAGGTTGTTAAGCGGGAAGCAGCGGGAGTCCTAGGCAAGGAGCGCAGGGGTGCTGTGGGAGGTGGGGGAGGGCTTGGGAGTTGGGGAGGGCTCTGGTACACATCGCGCACAAGTACAGGAAGGCCAGAGAGGGGGATGGTGCGGCTTGTGACCTTCCCTGCCAGCTTTGCTTGTGGCAAGCTGGCAGGAAAGATCGCAAATGGTGATCATGTGACCGTGGGATGCTGCAATCGTCGTAAATGTGAGCTGGTTGCCAAGTGTCTGAATAGCGATCATGTGACTGTGGAGGTGCTGCGACGGCCGGAACTTTGAGGACCGAAGTGCCACTCATTCAGTGCCATCTCAACTTCAAAGAATTACTGAATGAGAGGTCAGTAAGCTAGGACTACCTGTAGAACAACTTCTTGGCCCTTTTCCCTGTTCTACACTGGGAGCAAGAAGAGTCAGTTTACCTCCTTAGCATGACGGAGGCCCCGTTCCCAGGCACTTTCTGTGGGAGGGTCAGGAGGTGGGGGTGGGAAGATTTCATCAACACCAGGCCCTCCCTGTTAGGAAAGAGAAGAGAGAGATTTCAAATGAAATTATGCTCATTTTCACAAAGCCCACTTTCACTCCAGAAAAGTAGGTGTCAGCTACTTGGTGATTAGCCCATCCGCTCTACTCTGGTAACATTGGACATTTAGCAACAAAGGCTAATAGGAGCAAAATTTGTATTTACACATCTCTACCAGGCAATCAAATTTCCTATCAAGGAGTGCTGAATCTCAAAGCCTCTCAAAGTGAAGATACCACCTTGCTATGGTAAAGCATCAAACGCAAATAGGTGCCAAGGGGCATGGAGTTAGCTGCCATTAGCTTATGGATGTGGACAAGTTTTTCATGTCCCATGTCTTCTAATGTGACTATTTTTATACTCATTCTTAGCCCAGGAGAGAAACTATTCAAACACTGAAGTACCAGGATTGAGAATGGCTTCTGTCTGCTCCAATCAGGGCTGTTTGTACAAGGCTTTGGGTATCACTGCTCTTCTAATATTAGAGCTACGATGTTCTAAAACAAGAACCCACATGTCACAGATGCATGCCACAGCTTATTATATGGCTCTGCCATCTCCTCCTCCTCTAGGTCCTGTGCTCATGTGACAGCCATTCAAGACAAGGAAAGGTACATTTAACATCCATCCAGTGGTTCCTGTTTTCCCCAGGTTCTCATGCCACAGGACTGGGTCACCCACTCAGCATCCCCAAACAAGTCATGGATATAAACACTGATATTATACTGTACCCAAGGGTTGGCTGGCATCAGAGGGTGAGGTCCAGGACCAATAGGTGGGGCACCATTAGGAGAGAAAGGATCTGGCTTGGTAATCAGAGAGTAGTTTCCTTTGTCATTCACACCAGGATGAATAAATCGGCAGTTCATGCCCCAAGTACAGTGTCCTATGGAGAAATGAGCAGAAGTGTAAAAGAAAAAAAAGCTCCAGATAAAACCAGGTTCACTTAAACTATAGAACAGAGGACACCAGACTGAGAAAGTCTGTCCACACAAGCTTGCCTTGTCCTATTCCTCAACCACTGAGTTATGTGAAGGAGATTCTTCTAGAACACCGTTTGACTTCTTTGAAGAAATTATATCCCACACTTCAAATGTTTTCCTGGCATTGCTTCCACAATGAGTAAAACAACAGGAAAAAGACTACATATAATAAAACATATTCAAAAATTGAAACCACAGCACAAAATCAGCATGAGAACCCACACCAGAGATTAAAAAAAAAAAAAAATGGCTGCCACCCGAACTTCAGCAATGGCTGCTGAGGGGAGGCAACTGGGTTAAATTCATGTTGATCAAAACAGCTGTATAATGCTGATAGCTAAACTAAGTTTCCATATGCTGAGACAGTGTTCCTCCAAGTATCAGAGAACCCTGGATCAAATACTGGATGGGGGCAATTGCCTTTACCCTCCACTTTTGGGCTTCTCTAAAACATCTGAACACTGAGAGACGTTTTGGTGTAAGGTGACTGCTGACAGACAGAAACCATCTAAATAATGGAACAGAAATGATGCCACAAGACTCTGGAGGGTGGCTGTCCACAGAGTTGCTCAGGAGGAAGGGATGCGATTGGCTTTAATCTGTACCTTTCACAAAAAAACGGCAGGTCAGTCGTGGCCTCACTTTTCTGTCACTGGGATCTTTCACCTCTCCCTCCTCCAGATCATCATCCTGAAAGACACACAGAGACAGGAACTTCAAAGGCAGAAGCTGCAATGACAGAAAGCCTTCAGCCGTGAGAACTGGAGCAAGCCAAGAGGCAAGAAGATGAGACACAAGGGAAGGAAGACCGATTCCCATAGTCCACGTGCTCCTCAACATATGAATGGTAGCTCACACTCACACCAGATCTCCCTAACTACTTCTTCTGTCGCTCCTTGCTAGCATTCCCTTCTAACCCTCTAGGCTCAGGAGATGCCTCTGGGATTGGTCAAGCAGAAAGTGCAGATGGCATTCTGGTTTCAATGCCAATTCTTTCTTCCTGTCTGTCCCCTGCCACTGAGGAATATGCCTTTCTTGCTCTCATTGTTGAAGGATTAACTGCAATAACATGAGCGCCATCTACCCTCTGAAAGACTCAGGAGACGACTTTTTAATTAATCTTCAAAAAGGTAAAGCAGATCTTGCCTGGTTCTGCAACCTGAGGTAGGATAAGCAAACATGGAACTGAATGCCAACTGCTTCCCCCTCCCCACCCGCATCCTCAATGTCTCTCGTTGGTGCAGAACAAAAGCTCTATATTCTGGATTTCCACTACTGATGGATCCAGAGTATGCCAGGTATGCAGAAGAGGCCACATTCTATTAAGTTCAAATGCAACCAGGTTGCAAATGATTTCAAGGAGAGGATGCAAAGTCACTTCATGAATAACTGCCTGGTTTTCCTCTTTCCTTTCTACCTACCTTTTGGGAAGTGTCACTGAATCTCAGAATTATACCTGCTCTCTTGCTTTCCTTACACAACAATGGAAAACTACCCTCCAGCAAAACATGCTGAGAAAGAAAACTGAAAGTTCTTCACAACATCCTTCCAAATTAATATTGGAGGCCTCAGATAATAAGATGGTGGTATCATTTCTTCAGAATCTGTGCCTTTGCCGATCCAAGGATTTAGCTCAGTATCTTTCCTTCCTCTGTCCTGCAACAACCATAGATGTCAATGAAAGCCATGCTTTCCTTAAGCAACTTCAGAGGGGATCACATTGCGAGAGGAAACCTTTTTGACTTCTGAACAGTAATGCTGACATTGGGCATACACCCCAAAGGATGGTTCCCACTAAGGCCTAAGGAGTCTTTTTAGCATCTAGCTTAGGAGTTAACCATCGGCCGGCAGGAAAACCTGCGGTTCCGAGCTTTCCTGCTGTTTCATCTCAGCTGCAGTTGGCTTCCTTGTCACTTACTACTTCAAGTATTCATCACAACAGGTCTCTGTCTCCTCTCCTGGGAGGAACACAATTGCTGCTTTGCAGCCTCAGATGTTACCTGCTGTCTACAGGGCTTTTAGGACCAACTCCTTTCCATTCCAGAACAAGGTCCCTTGCCAAGCTGGATGTCTATGAAATGACAGAGCAGTTCCACTGTCATCAGGGGCTGAGCTCGGCCAACAAAGTGATAGGAAACTGGTTTCTTGCGTTCGCAAAAAAACAGCATGGCTTCGAGGCTCAGATTCAGCAACTGCTCTTAGGACTTTGAATGTAAACTTTGCTAAATGCTGAAGAATCAGCACAGCTTCCCAATTCTTGGCAATGGTCATACTGTGGAATGTTTGGCAATTGAAACCTATGCATTGGGAGGGTGCCCAGGTTGGGAGAATTAATCCCACTTCCCACCTTTTGGTCTGCTTGTTCCTAAACTTATAAGGTTTATAGCAACTAAAAGGCTTTTCTGAGAAATAAGGCCAACACTCTAGGCCTACGCAACAGCTTTCCTACAACCCAAAGTGATCAATGTCTTTTTGCACAGAAGCAATGCAAGTCTGCCATTATTACACTGCTGTTTCTTCTGAGCAGTTAAAACATTCATGCCTTTGCTGAAGTCAGAAAATGGCTAGATTAGAGTGACCTGGCTGACAATTCTTATTCATTTCTATTTATTAGTAAGGTCACTTTTCTTTAATCTGCAAAACCGGCCCTGTTTCCCAACGTCAGTTCAAAAGCACCCCAGGGATTTATTTAGTACACGCCCTAAGACTTCAGTACTGTACCTGAAACAAGCAGAGAACACAACCAACATTTTCTATAGGACTGTGTGAACTTTCTGCAAACATGCAACTCTAGCAAGAAGGAGAGAAAAATAACTGGGAAAGAGGCAGCAGAGATGCCTGGCACTCTCAGAAATTCATCTGGGAGCTGCTTAGGGGACAGCCTGATACTGTATTTATCAGAGCATACCTGACTGAAAAGGTCAAGCACTGGCTTAAAAAATTCTTTGGAAGAGCTACACTAGTTGGGTCATTCCCTCTCTATGACCAGGTAGCTCTGAGGCAATTCATAATACAGACATAAAGAGTTTATGGCAACTGATAGAAGCTTGGTGAATTTTCTGATGTACACATAACCAATCTTCCTTGCACAACTATCAGATACAAGCAACTTCAGCAATATCTCCTGCAGGTTAAAGACTCAATCAGGGAAGACCCAGATGTAAACCTAGATACTTTAAAAGCCAACCACTGAGTGTTAGCAGGGGAAGTTTTACTATCCTGAATTATGTCACTGATCCATCTGGTATACAAGCATCTCCTTCTATAGAAAGCAACTCTCTAAGATTTCAGGCTAAGAGAGGTCTTTCTTTTAAAAGGGCACTTGAGTCTTCTTTCTACAAAGCACTTGCTCTATCTCTTTCAGCTGCAGCTGGTTCCTTAACATTTCCTAAACATAATTATGAAATAGAATAAAGTGTCCTACTTTCACTGATAAATAGCTTGGACGGGGCATCCATAAAGCTTTCATCAGGGAGCCAGTGGCCCCGTTCACACGTAACAATGTAATCTGCACACCTTTGGCTCAACTTAACATGTGAATCCACAGAGGAGAAGAATTGATGGAAACAAGGTGTCAAGGAACAGAGAAAAGCTACTGACAAAGAGTGCAGAGGGGGAAAAAAATACAGCAGCTAAGAGACTGAACCACCAATCCAGAAGCCCTCAGTCCAACTCTCACCCTCGGTTACTTTCCCTCAGCCTCAATCTTCTCTTCTACAATGTGGGGAGCCTACCTTAACTTATTTGCATAGAACTGGCATAAGAAACAGAAGGTGAAATGCTATTTATGTGTGTGTACACACACACATTCAGAGCACCGTTTCTCAACCTTGGCAACTTTAAAATGCATCAATTTCAATTCAATTTCAACATGCTGAATTCTGGGAGTTGAGGTTCTCCCATCTTAAAGTTGACAAAGCTGAGAAACACTGATTTAGAGGGACTTGCACAACAGCCCACTTCACAGGACTTCATTTTCCAACTGCCACTTAAGTTTGGCAAATTCTGCGAAAATGACATGGGAACGGAGTGAGACATAAGACAGGTGAGAAAACTGCTTGGCAGATTCTACAAAACAGCCCATCAGCTCTGAGCTCAGTTGCAGCACCCCTCCCTTTGTGTTGTGCTTTTGGAATAAGCTGGTTTAATCCACATCTAGATTCCTCTTGAGAAAACAGCTCTTTCTTGGCCTTTCTGTATTCCAAAGCACTGTAGGGGCCTGCTTTCTTCCAGGGACACTGTGGGGGGGAGGGGGGGAGGAGCCTGAGATTGCAGAAAGGAGCTGAACTTACATCAATCTCGCCATCATCAATTTCTCCATCTTCTTCCTTCTTCTTCTCCTTGGGAGGCTCCTGCCCATCCTTCTCATTGTTGCTTTTGGGGGCAGGCTTTTTCTCATCCCCTGGAGGTTCTTCTCCCTTTTCTTCCTCCTCCTCTTCCTCCTCCTCTCCCACAGCCTTGTCAGCCTCATCATCTGCAGGAACAGTGCTAGGCTCCTCAGGAACCTCCTCGTCATAGTCCAGTTCATGCTCATCCAGTTCCCGAATGACTGAGGAGGCTTCATCACCCAGGTCGTTTGCCCCATCTTCCTCTTCCTCAACATGCAGGGAGGACTTAAGCGGTTGGCTTTGATCATTACGATCAGAGTCCTGAGACTTGGTTTCACTTAAGCGCTCCTCTTCCTCTGAGGGAATGCCTTCCTCCTCCCCATGGCTCAATGTTCTGGTTATACCTTCTGCACCTTCCCCCAAACAGGTGCCCCGTCCTTCCTCCCCATCCTGCTCCGAACCACTCTCTTTCAGGATTTCATCATCAGAGGGCTGGTGGTCATCCTCCTCTTCGTCTTTCTCGCTGGGAGAGCGGGGGTTTTGCTCAAGTGTTTCGGAAACATCCATCAGGACCCACTAGTCTGTAACAGAGAAAAGACTCAGATAAAAAAAAAAAAAAAACAGGACAAAAGTCAATTCATAGCTGCTTAACTACAGATTGTTAAGCTGCCTTGCCAACATTTTTAGCTTGCAAGTGCAGATACTCTAAGACTGGCTTCATACAGCAGTGCAGCTCTAATGTGGGTTTCTTTGGTTCTGGCTTAGCACTATGTATTAACTCTGTAGCTTATTCAATGAACTATGGCTCAGCATAACGTTTGAATCCAGCCTAAATGTAACATGTCAGAGAGACTGGGCATATCTGTCTGCAAGTATGACGTCTGCAGCCTTCAAACTACAATTTGTTGTGCTCTTGACTTCACTGATAGTCTCTGCAGTAGACGTTTATCGCAGAGAAAAACATGATATAAGCCATTTGCTGGTCCTGGGGAACATTAGGCATAAAATGTTAACTTAGAACACCCCCAAATCAATCTGTTCCTTTCCCTCTTTTCCCATACTTCTCCTTTATTTACCTCTGCCCTGTCCACTTGAACATGAGAAAGTCATTTTATGCCCCCAGTCCATACAGAAAAGCAACTGAATATGCAGACATTTACTTAATTCACAGTTTATTCAAAATACAGAATGTGTGAAATCATAGCACATGATATACACAAATTGCACTTCTGTTCTGTGAACTCTGGACAAATGTCAACACCTATAGAGAAAAACTTTTCCAAGAACTCTATTATCTCAACTCATGGTGCTTCTGTCTAAAGTTTTGCTAAACTCAGTAAGTTCAAGCAAAAAGATTGAACAGATTCATAAAGTAGCAGTCACAAGCCCAGCTACACAGTCAGGAGAAAAATGCACACATTTAGAGACACACAGAACCATAAACTGAATGTAGGTGATGGGACTTTCCAGCTTGGAGTCTTCAGGTAAGCAAATACATCTAGTGAGAGCTAGCTGGGGTGAGAACAGAAAATAAAGGGGGGGGGAGGGAGGAAACTGCGCTTCCAGTTCTATCATTACCACATTTTTTTTCCTGGCAAAACACATCCAAAAGCAGCCTAATTGAGAACAAGCACATTATTTTAGGCTACACAGAACTTGAAACATGGGCATCCTGCAACCAAATCTCACCATATTCTCTATACTTCCACCTTTCTCTCTCTTTCTAAAGCTCATAATGTATTGATTTCATCTCAAACATTGGGCAGAAATAGTTAGGAATAGAGAGAAATTATAGAGCCCAACTGAAGCTGGCCCATTAAATATCTGCATGTCTTTGAACTTGAAATTCCAGCATACCTAGCTTTTTTCTGCCCTTCCAAACCATTTCTCTTAACTTTTCACGAACATACTTAGCATTAAAGAAAGAAAGCAGAGCCATAAAGTCAATGGCAAATAGGAATACAATTTTTGAGAGCCCTTGGGAGGGAGATAGGTAGAAGTGGCTTCGCCTTCCCAACCTGGCTAAGCACTCTATCATGCATGCTACAGGGAATGGAACCCACAGGCGACGACACACAGTGAACACCAACAATCCAGCTGAAAGCAAATTCCTGTCATGTGCTGGGAACAATTACATTCCATATTCTGGAATATGAATTCTCTACCGCTCTACAGGATTGGAATCTGAATTAGCGTATTTGGATATGTACACTTCCATTTTCAATTTACTTCTCTCTTTATCCCTTCTTCTCTATTTAGACAGTGAACATGAAACTTGTTTGTCTAGTGATGTGCTACCTTACAAGAGATTTTTGAAAAATGTTATTTTTAACTCTGAAATTGCTCAGTCTCACTGTTGTCTTAAATTCAGTGAAACATAGAAGAAACCCTTCTATTTCATTTAATTGTATTTCACCCTGTACACTTCCTTGAGAAAGTCAAAACTTCCCTCTGTGCTGCTTGGCATTTTCTAAGCATCAACTGTCACTGGTGAAATCTCCAGAGCCAGTAGATCCAGCTGTGGCTTGCATATTAGCCTCCAAAGTAGCCTTCTTTTTTGGGGGGGCATCAAAAGCAAGTAAGTTCCATTCACAAAGTATGATGAGGGAAAAACTGCCAAACAGTATTTGAAATACTTTGTACTCATGAAAAATTCTGGAGGACATAATGATTTGCATATGATTTTGCAACTTCAAGTTCGCCTAAGAACAATATTGTTCTATCATAGCTTTTAGAAGTTTTCTTATCTAAACTTGTACTGTTTTAAGTTGAAACTTTAAAGCCTTTAACCCTGGAACACAGACACAGCATAACATACACATATAGACATGGTCTTAGGATGGAGAAAAAAACAGGATTTAATTTTTGAGACAGACTTGAATTTCCGGACCCTGGATGTGCATAGTTCATTCAAACAACAAATAAGGTAGTAAAAGTTGAAAGAGTGCACCTAATCATCCCATATTTAAATGTTGGCCTACGAAGATAAAACAGTATGGATGAGATTCTCAAAGATGAGCTCTTTTGTAGCACCTAAAGGCCAAAGTAAAAGTCAAAAACATTCATTACCAATAGTTTTGACGAGTTTTTCATTTAACAGAAATTGTCCCATTCTGAGTGCAGATGAGGCCCGTCACCCCCTGTCGACACAACCACCCACCCTGCTAGCAGCGGGCAATGGGAATGTAATCCAGAGCCCACGGGAAGAGGCCACGCGTTCCCGTTCAGCAGCAGCACCAGCAGCACCAGCAGCACCAACCCCCCTTCCAGATGGGTCACAGTACGAATCTCCCCCCTCGGCTAGCGAGGATGCTCCCCGCTGGCTAAGGGTGATGGGAGCGCGCAGGCCAAGACCGCAGCCTCCGCTGGGGCAAAGGTTGGCCCTGGGCGGCACCCAGCCCTCCCCGCCCTCCCCTCCGGAGGGGTCAGATCCAGCCCCAGGCCCGCCCGGCCTCGCGGGCTGCGAAGGATGGGAGCTGTGGTCCGGCGCCTGCGGAGGCGGCAGTCCCCTTGCCCGCGAGTGCCCCCGAGGTCATCACCTCCGCGCCCCGGAAGGACGCCCTGACGGCGCCGGGGCGCGGAGGTCGCAGCCCATTCGCTCGCCCAGGGCCGAGGCACCAGGCCGGGCCT